CTTAAGTTAAATTAGCGATTTGCAAATTAATTACTAATTTGCAATTTTTAACATTGAAAATTGTACCTAAATATTTGATAATAATAATAATAATAATAGTAATTTGCTTTATTCCAAAACAGTACTTGTGATACAGAATGGAATTCTCAGCATTTTACTACAGTATATTGCATCCAGTTGGTATATTAACAATAAATAAAATTCTACATAGATTATGGGTAATCTCAGCTCCTTTTGACAACAACACGTTAGCATGTCAGTGGCAAAGCCAAAATTAAACAGAGTTTTTGAAGGTGCTAGAACAGTAGATGCTAGCAAATTTACTGGCGTAAGCAGTAACAAACTGTTGAGATATACAGAGTGTGAAAGAATGAAGGAGAATGATTTTAATAGAGTTTGTAAGGAAGAAAGAAACAAAGCAGCACGTAACAACACAAAAAAGAGAAAAGGAAAAGAAAGAAAGAAAACGTTGTACCTATAAATGATATGAGTTGGAAAGACGAGATCCAATTGTTCTACTGACTATTTAATAAGTCATAAGTTTCACGCCTAATGCTTTTTTATCGCACAGAACACGAGCTAATTAGGGTATGGTTGAGCTTTTGTATTTGCTAGTGCGAGCATATAGTTTTTTACATAGGCTTCTGGTCCTGACTGATGAGATACAAGGGGAGAGTTGTGAATGAAGAGGGTGGTGTGAGTTAGATAGAATGGATTGATTTAGCCCATTTTTCACATGAGTCCATGTGCCTGTCAACCAGAAGATTAACCAGCTGGTTAATGTAATATAATAATTTAATACTGAATTCATAGGCCGACTTAGCTTGAATATAAAACTTTGCATATAATTGGACCAGTTTAGATTGCCACACTCTATTTAGTATACCTCGGTGGACATATAGAGAAACCGGAGATGATGAAGACAACCAACCAATCAACAGCAACAACAACAACCAGCACCAATCACCGTCAACAGGAGAGGGATTTGACAGAGGTTGCTTCCTTCCTTCACTTATCCGGCTAGGAGGCACAGTTTTAAACCCAGACGGGATGGATGAAGATATCAAAAACCAACCAGGACTGGAAAGGTAAGATATGCATGCCTGCATCAATCTGAAACCAGTTTGGAAATCTTTGCACTCAGTCAGTCAGTCAGCCAGCATCAAGAACAAGATTCAGATTTTCAACAAGAAATGTAAGGTCATTCAGTTCTTCTATATGGGTCAGAAACTTGCATAGCACGTCACAAAAAAGGATTTCCAACGGGGCACTGCAGATTTTTATCAATAGCTAGATAACTTCACTGGCTTCATACTAAAGAGCAAATGCTAGCCCGACAGAAATAATCAGCAACAAGAGACTCTAGGAACAAACCAGCCAAGAGTTGATTGTTCAACAAATATGTAGAAGAAACTATATAGATGGATCGGGCATACGTGTTGAAGAGGCCGTTGAATGACATAACGTACAATTCAGGCCATCAGTCGAATGGAATATCATTGAGAATTGACGAATGGATCACTGATGCGAGGATGACATGGAGGAGATGAAAGATTATGGAAATTCGTGAACAAAGCTTAGGAGGAGGAGGAGGACAGAAAATAGAAGTAAGTGGAGATGTAATGTTGAAGCCCTTTTTTGTTCTACTCGGAACCTAAGGGCATAATAATAATAATAATAATAATAAATGGAATAAGGTAGCGAACAAATGTAGAGAAAACAGAAGAAACTAAATTCAAAAGAACTGTTATAAACAGAAGTATGATGAAGATAGAACGGTAACATGGAAAACCATGAGGGTTAAATGGGTCCGTGAGATTATATAGAAAGAATGCATCTAAGCCATTGTCAAGGAATTTAAGCCATTGGTCCCTAGCCTCCAGAAGATCCCAGTCAGACTGTATACAATCCCCTGTGTAACTGGCTCAAACTAATAGTTTGAAGACTTCATGAATTTAATGTCAAGTTTTGATTTCACCATCCTTAACAATTTTTTTTTTCAAACCAACCTGATGTCAGCTAATTAGGCTAGCCGAACAAGAGGACGATGGCTTATCATGTTTTAGAAACCAAAATTATGATTATATTTTAGAGAATCTATTTCATGCCACATATACCACTGATGCTGGATCAATAAATCAATTTTACGACTTATAAATAATCAGTCATTTCTCTTGCCTCCAAAGCCTCAGGATGGTTGGGGGTGGGTGTCTCGCGCTGCGGGTTGGCCACCCCTCCGTACACCTCTTGAAATGCTCCCATATGACCGGGTGTCTTACATAGCCTCTCCTGAGGAAGTCCTACTCACTGCCTTCACGTGGCGGAGGTGTTTTTCACCAAAGTGAGAGGGCAAAAGCGGATGCCCGGCGCTCTTCACCGGGTTGACTGTCCATTGGAAGACAGTCTAGGGGAGATGGCTAAACCCTGATTCCAAACCTCCAACGACTGGCGTATGAAGCTCACCGGAGCTCACCGGCAGACGTATGGACAAAGGGCTTATTGGATGCCCTGGATGACTGGTCCCATTCAAAAAGGCGAATGAACCGGACTCCGGTCACCGGCTGGCTGCCAATGGATAGTGGACTCCCTACTCCACTCCTACTGCCTTGTAGGTCACACTTGGTTGTGTAAAGGCTAGAGCTGCACTCTCAAACAAAGGCCGAGCGATGCTGGGGACATCACTCGTACCCAATTCCCATGAAACTTCATGGTTCATGAAGCCGGCTCATCCTCCCGTAGAAGATAGCCGAAGTAAAGTAAAGTAAGTAAGTCATTTCTCTTTGCTTAGGATTCAATTGAAAGGGTATTCATGAAATTCCATGTTAGTTTGTTTATTAGACGCATCACACAGTGAACGGTATTACTTACTGGATGACAACGTTTCGAACAAAATTTATTGTGCTTCATAATCATATCAATTGTAATCACACAACTTTGAAACTTGAGTTTTATAGTTTTCAAGTGTTGGTTTTCTTTGTTCCCTCCTATTTATCGTCGTTGTTGTAGTAGTGGAATTTTCCACATATTTGGGATAGGTGTTGAATCATTCCCATTACACGTATTCTATCTCAGTTGATTCGATGAACAAAGCTTCTGTTATCAATCTCTCCCTCCAATAATCCTGTTAAATTAGATTTTAAAACTCTCATCCTATCCTGTCATCCTATTGTATAGTTGTGTATTATTGCATGTAGTGAAGGCTATCTACGGCTGAACTATTCTCTACATTTCTTATTTTATTTGGGTCAACCAATCTAGATTTTGCTAGGTTTTTATGTTCAGCTAATCTGACTGCCCCCTTCTACCAGTTTGTCCTATGTATTTGTTATGAACTGCTGCTTAGTGGTTAATAGTAAGTTTTCCCCGTCGCCAATTATGTTGTGTACTCATCGAGTAGTTAATAGTCCTGACTCGGAAAGAGGGAAATCAGAAGATCACCAGGTTTACGATGATACTTGTATTTTCCAGACAAGGAAAATAAATGTCACACAAGAGTGTGAGTGAAACGATACGTAGTGTACGAAAACGTGGGAACAAGTCAGTTAAAGTGTACAATGCAAAGTATATATGAAAATGGCTAATACACATGAACCAATAAGATAACATCTTACCATGATTGGTTGTAATATCATGTGATAACAAGGTCATACATGTCTATTTAGTTAGTGAACAGATAAAAGCATATTGTCAGTTATAATGGAATATCTATCCGTATACCCAGCAAAGTAAAACAGACTGTCAAAAACAAAACACACATCATGTGGATACATATCAGTATTTCAGCTGACAATCATTTTAGCAGGGTATTAGATGAACTTAATTGTTTTGTTTTAAAAGCTCCACAGGACTGATCCTTTAACCGACAAATCTTGTTTCTAATTGTTTTTGTGGCTGGTTTGAATGCCAGCCACTTTCATTCCTGCCTTGTTAAGAATTCTGTTTACGGTGGTTTCCGAGGTTCCTTCCTGTCATGGCAGGAATTACTACTGATGATTTAGATTCCTTATTGCTGGTGTTGTCTTGCGCATACTTGACATGATAAGTTAGTCAGGAAATATGTACGGAAACGTAAACATAAAATAAATAATGACAGTAGTGATAGTGATAATAATATTATTGACGACATGCCTGTCAAGTATGCCTAAGACAACACCAACAATAAGGAATCTAAATCATCAGTAGTAATTCCTGCCATACAAGGAAGGAACCTCGGCAACCTTACTCAGAATTCTTAACAAGGTAGGAATAAAAGTGGCTGGTATTCAGATCAGCCACAAACTCAATCAGAAACAAACTTTGTCGGTTAAAGGATCATTCCTGTGGAGCCAACATAAACAAAACAATTTAGTTTGTTTAATATCCTGTCTGCGATGATTGTGAGGTCAAATACATAGGTCAAACTAGTAGAACAGAGGCAGTCAGACTAGCGGACCATAAGATCCTAACAAATCCTATACTGGTTGGCCCGAATAAGATAAGAAATGTAGAGAAGAGTTTGCACACAACCATACAGTAGGATGACGGGATAGGATGAGAGTTTTAAAATCTAATTTAACAGGCTTATTGGAGGGAGAGATTGATAACAGAAGCTTTGTTCATCGAATCAACTGAGATAGAATACGTGTAATGGGAATGATTCAACACCTATCCCAAATATGTGGAAAATTCCACTACTACCACAACGACGATAAATAGGAGGGAACAAAGAAAACCAACACTTGAAAACTATAAAACTCAAGTTTCAAAGTTGTGTGATTACAATTGATATGATTATGAAGCACAATAAATTTTGTTCGAAACGTTGTCATCCAGTAAGTAATACCGTTTCACTGTGTGATACGTCTAATAAACAAAGATGGAATTACTTACTGCCACAGTGTCCAGGTTTTACACATATGTATTCATATAGAGATTTCTTATGTAAATCATCTATCTTTTTCAGACTATGCTTTAAACAAAAAGAACTTATTTCGTAACATTCTTCTTCGGTTTCTTTTTAGATGAAATAAAAATATCTGAAAGTACACAATCTGTTAGTGATCAACATTCCTACCAGGAGTATTCTAAAATTGATATTGAAAATAAAAGATCGGTTGAAGAGAAACACGAATCCAATGAAAATTCACTTCAAAGTAATAACCTACCGTCCAGTTTAACGCCTACAAGTGTAAATAATTTGAAAGATATTGCCCCGGATGAAAGTAATGCAAATGATACAGCGGCGTATATTGAATTTACAGAGTAAGCCGAAGTATACTGTTGTCTAATTTATAAAAATTACAATATTGCTCTGTAGTACACTTGATCTTTTCTTTATCATTATTGTCCCCTTGGGTTCCTAGTGGAACAGAGGGCTTCAGCTGCACGTCTCCACTTGCCAATTCTGTCTTCTGCTGTACTTTTTACCTGCATCCATGTTAGTCATTACCGTCCATACTTCTCTTCATATGATCTCCTCCATGTCACCCTTAGACTGACGACCAACTCGCCGCTTCCCTTTCGGCCTGGTTCCACTCGAGCAATGGCCTGACGCGCGCACGATGTCACCCAGCGGCCTCCTCAGCGAGTGTCGATTCCATCCATCTCCACTCTCTCCTGCATATTTGTTGGGCGATTGGTTTGTTCTTGTTTTGTTTGTTCCCATAGTTTCTTGTTGGTGATTCTTTCCGACCCGGCCCGGCCATCTGATCTTCAGAATATAATCAGGACAGTTGTTGATAAAGGTCTGGTCTGCAACAGGCTGTTGGAAATATTCTTTGTGACCCGTCCACCAAGCCTCTGATCCGTTCCGTATAGAAGAACTGACTGATTTGACGTTTGTATTGAAAATCCGACTGAATTTTGTTGCTGATGCTGAGTGACGAAGATTTCCAGATTGGTTTCGTGTTGATGAATGTGTTTCTCGCTCGCCTTCCCGATTTGACATACTCGTCCGTTCCGACTGCCTGTAGCTGAGACAATGCTCAATGCTAGATAAGTGAGTGAATGTAGTAACCTCTTTCAAATCCCTCCCGTTGATGGTGATTGGCGCTAGGTGTTGCTGCTGTTGTTGTTGTTTTTGTTGGTTGGTTATTTTCATCACCCCCGTCTTGTCTATGTTCACTTGGAGACCTGTCCTCGCTGGCTGCTTTTTCGACCAGTTTGTCGGTTTTCACTTGTAAGTCTTCGATTTTGTGTAACACCAAACATAAATCATCCATGCGCAAAATCCAAGTTTTCTAGGTTCTTCACGTTGGTCCAGGATATCCCTCCCTGTCTTCTCGTTTTTCAACTATGTGACGCATAATCCAGTCAGTCCACCACAATTAGGAATATCATTGGTGATAATAGGTAGGCACCCTTGTCTGACTCCTGTGTTTACTTCAAAAGAGTATAATTGAATTAAGTTATTCGAATATTGATTAGAATATTTTATCTTAGGTGTTTAATCCTACAGGATTTGATTGGTTACAATTTTAAATTATGAACTGTCTACAGTTGGAGATTTGTTGAAAACCAGTATTATTAAGTAATACTTTGAGAAGGCTATTAGCATTAAATAGCGAAACGTCAGTAATAATATCGTTTTGTTTTTGATTCATTCGTTTGGAAATACAAAAAAAACCTTTATTATAATGAATGATTGGTCATTAGTATGTACTTTTGTTTTTTATTTAACTGAGTAATTGTCGTGAACTTAATTTTATTACTGCTAACCATGTTATTTGTAGAGCGGTTGTAACAAAACTACGAAATGATGCCATCATCTGGCGGCGAAATTTGTCTTCTTAATGCCTTATTCAAATTTATCAAAGGGACTAATTGTTTTACTTTTCTTTCGTATTATTGAACCAAAAGTTATTAGAATATTGATTAGAATATTTTTTTACGTGTGTGATCCTGCAGGATTTCATTGGTTACAATTTTAAATTATGAACTATTGACATTTAGAGAAATATTGAAAACCAGGAAGAAAAGGACAGAAGTGTCGTATTAGTCGGAGATTCTTTAGCAGTGTGTGTGTGCCCAACCCCACCTGGAATATAAACCAAGAGCTTTCAGGTTACGAGGCAAGCTCGTTGACTTTTCAGCCACTCAAATGTAGTCCGACAGCTCATGAATTTTTCGAAATTTGCGAAAGATCCCACTTTCTATGATGCGCTTAAATAACCTTTTAATTAGAGGTCAGATAACGGACAGACTGATAAAATTGACATGCGTAATAAAAGAAGATTCTTTTTATTAGCTTAGTGATAGAACAGTGTAGAAATTTGAACAGAAGTGTGTTGCTTCAACACTAGCCATTTTCTCTTGATAAATTCTTCCTTCAAAGTGATTTTCTATAATGTCCATTTATGACACTCCATCTATCTGTCTGTCTGTCTGTTTTCGACATAGAACTTTGCACCGATGTGCATCAGTTCAAGTCGCCAAACTCCATCCATGTAGCATACAAAGCAAGAGAAGAAAGTAGAAGAAATGTAATTGGTTTTTACCGTCCTGAGGACCCCAACCAGTCTGGAAGTTTACATCTTCCTACGTAGCTGGCGTAAACTAACTGTTGTGGATTTCATTGACTGATGAAGCTATGTTTTGGTTTGACCACCACTGGCTTTTTTCCAACCTGATCCATCCTATGTCAGGTAACATTGCCCGTCGGGCGAGTAAAGCGATGCTTAGGCAGGTATGCGTTCCACATGTCCTAACCATCTCCGTTGATGTAATTCCGCAGCCTCGTCGATCGATTTCCCCACCTATCTAGCACTCGACCAATGCCTCAGCTCAGTAATACTCACTCTATTACACCGACCACTTCACACAGGAGGGAGATAGAACGCAGATACCTATGATCAAAGACAGCTAGCCAGACTTTTCATGTCTTCCACTCTCAATGGGCAGGTCTCACCCACTGCCATAAAGAAGGATGGAGCGGACTGCTGGGCAGTACACCCGCCCTTTGGTCGACAGCCAGCCGGATATCACGTCTGCGCCAGAAACGGCGTAAACTGGCATATGTGAAACTAGCCCTCTGTATCCGTACTGAGATTTCGTCAGAGATCAACTTGTTGGCAATGGCTGATGATACTTCCCAAATAAGTGAAGTGGTCAACGCGCTCCACCAACCACCAACCAAATGATTATATTATATTATATATTATATTCACTCCCTATTTCTAAACTAGGAGTCTGTGTAGTCCAGTCCTGTAACATTATCTTACATTTGATAGGAGTGAATGGCATGCCAAACATTCGTAGATTACAGTTCAAGGTGTTCAGAAGACTCTGCATGACACTCCATCCTGGAATAGCTGCTGCCTTTCTGTAACTAGGCAGGATAGTGTTCTTCAACTGTTTTAAATAGGATACACACACAGCGACCAATATGTCTAAATCTACAATTGTAGAGTAACTGATATATGTACATTATTCATAAATAATTAAAAATTGTAGCAGCCTGAAATGATACGATGAAGCTGATAGGATTTATGGGGAGCAAAAGAACTTTATATAACTACCTTTCGCTTTAAGTCAGTAAATCTCAGATCAGATAAAGATTTGCATAAGGAACTGAAAAAAAGTGTTATTATTATTAACACTATTATTATTAGTCGTAATGACAGTTAGTCAGCTATTTGAACAAGGTATCTTTTACAAAATAATATACTCTACTCTTCAAGATAGATGAAGTTAAAAGCTATTCCTCGATAAAAAGTCAACTTTTCTGACACTTCTTTGAATAACTTCAAATGAAGTCCGTTGAATGTTCAGTCGTTAGACTTTAGATATGATTACAAACTGACTTCAATTAAAGAACCAGTACTGGACAGCGATTTCACGGCAGTTATGGAAGCTTCAGTATTATGCACTCACCACTCCACCAGGAATCAAACCCAGGACATTCAGGTTACAAGATGACCTCATTGAATATTCAGCCAATGGGCAGGAATCCAATAGCCTATCCATCCCAACTTCTGTCCATTCTAAGTTTGGTGGATTCATGATCACACACACATACACACTACGAAGCAGTGGTTCTCAAAATTAAGTCGGTTTGTGATCAAGCTTGAAATCCATTAAATCACTAAGAATCAATACTTGAAAATTTTCATTTTAAATTCCATAGTTTTACTATTACATTTGCTTGTGTGACATCAATTTAATTCACGAAAAATACCCATTTATCCATATGGTCCGGGGTTCGGGCCCTCGCCGGCGCACATCTGATATCTATGGTCGGCCTGCGAAATTCGGGCTACCGATATCCACGCTGAAAATTCCATACTTGTACCAAAAATACGGTGTGGAATCAAGCTGTAATCAAAAATAAAATAAATTAAATAAATAAAAACACAGTTTTTTTGTTCAGCGAAGAAGTTTCTTTTCAACGACTTCATTTTCAAGCTAAACAGTCGTATTTATATTACAGAAAAAGGTTATTAAATGGCACTGAATAATTGCTCAGTCAATATACACATATATATATATATATATATATATATATATATATATATATATATATATATATATATATACATAATAAGAATAACGATAATTAAAATATTATAAGGGGTAGAGTTGAAGGGGATAAATTACAAAATTAATGAAGATTGTTATATAAGTGAATTGATATCAAAAATGTTTTAAAAATGTCAAGTGTTGTCTAAAAATTTTAAAATTAGGAGTACGATTACGATAAGAATGAAGGGGTGAAGTGAAGTGGAAAGAATTCAAGTGGTAAGCTAGATAGAAGAGAGAATGGAACGCTTCTAAGGTCGATTTACCGTAAGCCAACATTCACTGGGCAGTACACTAACATCAACAGTTGGATACCTTTAGGGAGAAATAGAAATCTTATTCATTCCATATGCTCTGCTCTGCAGAGACAATCGATAGGGAACTAGATAACCTTTGATCAAATCTCCTTAACAATGGTTATCCTACAAGGTTTATTGAACGTAACATCAAGAAAGAATCCGCCCCTAGACAAATCACAGTGCCAAAGAAAAAACTGTTTATGAGTTTGGCATTCAAAGGTGACACCATTTCTGAATTGATTAAAAATCGTTTATATAATTGCTCAGTCAATATACATATATATATATATATATATATATATATATATATATATAATAAGAATAACGATAATTAAAATATTATAAGGGGTAGAGTTGAAGGGGATAAATTACAAAATAATGAAGATTGTCATATAAGTGAATTGATATCAAAAATGTTTTAAAAATGTCAAGTGTTGTCTAAAAATT